TTTCACAGAACTGAACTGAGCTGGCATACCAACAGCATCTGCTATACAGGCGATTCCACGAAGACTATTTCCGTCATCACCATTGGGTGCAAACTGTTCTTTCTGCACTTTGAAACAAACTGCAATGGCTTCTGCTTCCTCAAGCTCTGGCTCTTGCATTATTAGTCCGTGTATCGGTTCCCAAACTTTATGCATTTCAGTTTGGCAAAATGGTCTCTTCCATATTCGGTCTCTTTTGCATATTCCAATTTGTTACAGTACATGTAGCATCAGAATATACTTAAAGGACGAAAAAAAAAGGAGTTTTGAATCTTGCAATGCATAGTATATATGTATACTTAATATATGTGAATTATGAGTTGTTTTTTTTCCCCCCAACAAAACTGTGTCTTGTTTTCAGGATTGCTGATAATTAAAAGGACACTTTAATTTTATATTTAAAGTAAACCAAAATGGTTCTAAGGAGTTTTCAACTTTCCACCGGTTCGTATATTATTGTATGGTGCATATCATCACCCCAATTACTTGGTCTAATAGTTCATGACGCGTCATTGATTCTTCCCTCCATTCACAACTTTTCCAATGAGGATATGCATCACTTTAATATGGAAGCCAGCCATGCAATTCTGCCAGAGACTTGAGTTCTAAATAACAGAGATTGTTTTGGTCCAAAAAGTAACACATGTCAATTATGACTTACTCTCTCCATCCTTTTAACCAAATTATATGGTTTAAAAAATAGTTAAAATTAGTTAAAAAATAATTAAATATAACAAATGCAATTTTTTTCAAATGTAACCCCTATATATAAATAGGTAAATGGGAGAGAGTAATAATAAGATAAATAAAGAAAAAAATATACTAAATGCATTAAATTAGAAGCAAAATAAATAATAATATATTAAATACTCAGACAAACTTAAAAATAATCTTATAAAAGAAAAACTGACCCATTTAAAAAATTGAACCCTATAATATGAGAACGAGGAGTTTGCATGTTTGGTACTCTCTAACACGCTTTCAATATACGAAGGAGTTTGCATGTTTGGTCCTCTTTAATTACTGTGTTCCATCTTAATTTGATTTTTATTGTTTGCATGTTTGGTACTCTTTAACGGAATTGGATCCTCTCCACTACCTTTTCCATCCTCTTCCCCTCCACTACCTTTCTTTTCTCTTTACAACCATTGGATCAAAACTCTAATAGTCCAGATTTAATATTTTATAACATTTTATAAAAATAAATATTATGATAAAAAATAGATAAATAAATTTAAACTATTAAAATCTAATCTGAACAGTTGATAACTATAGACTGTTATTATAGAGTAAATTTTTTTAAAATTTTTTTATTACAATTGTAAACTGTTCAGACCAGATTTTAACAGTTTAAATTTATTTATTTATTTTTTAACAATATTATTTTTATAAGATTTTAAATCTGGACTATTGGAATTTTAATCCAATGGTTATGAAGAGAAAAGAATGGTAGTGGAGGGGAAGAGGATGGGAAGGCAGTGGAGAGAATCCAAATCCCTCTTTAACACGCTTTCAAACACAATCGACCGACCACCTCTAATAATTAAAACCCTGACACTACAATCGGTTGGTGAAAGCTGCAGAGAAGGAACAGCGTAATTATTATTCCTCCAAGCCACCCTAAAAAACAAGGGAGGAAAAAAATTTAAAAAAAAATAAAGACAGAAATGAGTTTTTCTTCATTTGGATGATGAGAGAAAAGCAGGAGGAAAGAAAAATAGAAGAGAAAATAGGATGCGGGGCTCTTGTTATTTTCTATCCAACTTTTCTCTCCATATATGGAGAGAAAATAAGAAGAAAACTCATATTCCTCATGTACTCTTCCCATACTAGATGCATAAACTCATATTTTGCCTTTAATGCAATTTTTTTATTTTATTTATGACTATTTTATTATTTAGCAAAATTATCTTACTATAGCCAAATTTTATAATAAATTTTATTATTTAACAATAATTTTAAATAATATATATTTTATTTATTTTCTTTTATTATATTTCATTTAAAAAAGCATCTATCTTTTTATTTTTTATTAAAAGTAACATTTTTTACTAAATTATTTGATTTTTAAATATAATAATATGATAATATATTTTTATCAATTAATTTTATTTCAAATTATTTGATAATATTAATGTTCATATAATTTTTTATTGTGATATTTAATTTACTTTTAAACATAATATATTTTGCTATATAGATAAAGATATTTTAGTCATTTATATATTTGCTCTTTTTTTTCTTCTATATTTTCTATCATTCATCTAAACAAGATGGGTAATAATTTTTTTTTAATTTTCTCTTCTCCTTATTTTCTCTCTGTTTTTTTTTTCCTCTCAACTTTTTTTCCCATGAAACAGAGCATAAGAGGAAGTTGCAGTGAAATGGCAAAGCAATTGCTATGAGCGCATCAACATCAACTTTTCAGCGTAGGCCACACATTTTGTCGGACCTTGGTTACGCAAAAGCTTTCTTTTTTTTTTTTTTTACTGGAAGAAGCTTTCATGAAAATTTTACTGGAAGAAGCTTTCATGAAAATGTAATTCTCCCGAAGACTTGACTTCATAATTAATGTGCCCAAAAAAATAACATATACTCCCTCCAATTTTCAATATAGGAGTTAGGTAATTTTATTAATTTTTTTATAAAAATATTTGTGGGTCTACCTAAATACTCTTTAATAATTTGTATTAAAAACCACCACATTGATAGAAATCTCCTCCTTTAATTATAAATTTAAAAGATAAAGTAAATTAAATTTTTATATTTAAAATTAAAATATTCTTTCAATTAAAATTAGATGCAGACTGATCTAGCAAATCAGTAGTTTTTCATATTTATCAATCCGTTTAGCACGCAAACCCATTTCAAATTAAATTGAACCAACAAAAAGAAACATAAAGCCAAGATAAGTAATGGGCAAAAACAACAAATAGAAGTCACTCTATGTAAAATCTGAAAAAAGATTGAAAGAAGGCCAAAACTAAAAGGGTGTGTTTCAAAAATTCACAAAAGTCATAATATTATATTATACTTAAATGGTGAATATGCCAAAATATCTATAAATTTTTACCCAAAATACACTCACCATTATAATCTTTTCGTAAGTGCAAAAGTAGATATAAACTTGCAAGACCATAGAAAAAAATGACATCACCGTTAAATTTGACTAATGACCATTATTTTTGTGGTGGGACTCACGCTACTGTTATGAAAGTATCAAAATACTTCTAATTAAAAAAAAAGTACAAAAATACTTATAAACTTCTAATTAAAGTGCATCAAATATCATATGTTTTTTCACATTTGTAAAAGTACCAATGACCATGCAAATAAATTAATTCTTCCAGTTTTAACAAAAAAACTCTCTTCAATTTTGGGAGTGTTTGGATAAAAACCAAATTATGGTTTTAAAAGTGTTTTTACAATTTATGAAATAAATATCTGAAAAAGTTTGCTTCGTTTTGTGAAAAAGTACTTTTTAAAAGTGATTTTAAGGGTTGCCAAATAGCCCCTTTATTCTCCTATGATAATGCTAATGATTTTATAGTTAATATATGTGTTTAGTCTTTTCAATTCACATCAACTTTTAATTTAGTCTCTTAAATATGGAAAGTATATTTTTAGTTACTAAATGTTAACAAAAAATACTAACTCAATGAATTTAAACGTTAACTTCACAAAAATACCCATAAACGTATAAATAAATCAATTATTTCAATTTTTTAAAAAAATAAATTTTATTATACTATTATACTTTTGCACCTCCACAAAGGTTATAGTAATTGATGCACTTTGAGTAAAAGTTTATAGATATTTTTGCATTTTCACCTTTCATATTAATTATAGTAACTGTGGTAATTATTCTTGTAGATGATCAGTCGGTGTTGGTGGGGCTTTTGCATTTTTGCTGTCTATTGGTTCTCAAAGCTTGTGCATTTTAATCTGGCAACTGGGTCTCTTACATATTCCAATTTATTTTGTTACAGTACAAGCAGCATCGAAAGATACTAGAACCCATCATTTTAATTGACCATATCACCACAAACAAATATTAGAACCTATCATTTAACACAATTTCAAACAGAATTGACCCTATCATTACTAACAATTACTCTATTCAGTTTTTGATATAAGAACTAGTTTGATGTTAAATTTAATACTATTTTAATATGTTTATCATATTTATTATTTTTTCAAACTAATTTATTTATATTATAAATTGATATATATAATCTAATATTCTATAAAAAAATATTTGAAGAATATCATGTCATGGTTATTATAATTAAATAATTTATTTATTTTTAATACATTCAAATTAGTAAGTGGTTTTTATATTGAAAAATAGAAGTCAGTAACAACAACGTCCCTAACACCAACATGTGAAAGTTGAGAGCAATTGAATTTTGATTGGAACGTTCCGCCTAGCTATGCTAAGTAGGGGGAAGCTGCCGAGAAGTAACAGAGCAATTGGCGTGAAGCACCGACATCGTCTTTTACGTACAAACGATATACATGCGAAAAAGTAACGCTCGTTACCATTGAGGGTACGACCTTTCCCTGTAATTCATCGTATGAGGGAGGGACAATGTTGTCATGATGTTTTTGGTCTATCTTGAAAAACCGAGAAGAATAATTATTATAGCATTCCACCCCGTTCTTATCAATAAAAGTGATAAATAGTCATACTACCTTATATCTCAAATATAAAAATTAATTAATTAATTTAAATAGATTAAAAAACTAATTAAATTAATTATTTATAATAAATAGTTGATTTTAATAGTTGTCCAAGTTTACTAATCCGAAAGATAAAAAAAAAGGTGGTGCGGTTAGGATGGGAATGAAATTTGTTAATTCAAATGTGAAAGGGGTAAAAGTATCAGTTGTCGTGTCATTTTGGCTCTGAAGACTTGAAAAAGTGAGTAAAGTCTAGCCGCTGCTATACATACTCCATCATCAGTTCACTTTTGCCATTTCTCAGCAAAGAAGACAGAGAGAGATCCGAGAGAGTAATCAGAATACCATGTTTGCCATAGCTTCCCCATCATCTTCTTCTTCTCCCAGGAAATATGATGTGTTTCTGAGTTTCAGAGGAGAGGACACTCGTAGATCCTTCACCAGCCATCTCCATACTGCATTGTGTGTCGGAGATATTAAGACATACATAGATTATGAGCTCCCAAAAGGCCATAAAATCTCCCAATCACTCATTGAAGCAATTCAGGATTCATCCATCGCTGTGGTGGTCTTCTCTCAAAACTATGCCACTTCAAAATGGTGTTTGGATGAGCTCCTTGAGATCCTTCGTTGCAAACAACATCAGGCACAGATTGTTGTTCCTATCTTCTACGAAATCGATCCATCTCATGTGCGTAATCAGAAAGGAACTTATGAGAAAGCATTCTCAGAACATTTAGAGAAAAACCCAGAGAAGGTGCACCAATGGAGACAAGCCCTTTCTCAAACTGCAAGTCTAGCAGGATGGGACTCCCGCAACTACAGGTCACTCTTCATTCTCTAATATGTCTCGATCTTTGAATCGCAGTTTCATTAGCAATTATGACTTGAGAATTTCATGCTTTTATTATTTCCTTTGATTGATCTTCGTCATCATAGAAATTGCTTTTTCGTGGCAAGTAATTAACTGGTCTGGTAGTGAGTATCTGATGTTTAAGGAACTTCTAGCATTCTTTATTCAAATTAATAAAAACCTTAAATTGTAACTAACTCTTTATTAAAATATAATAACTTTTTAATACTATTTTTATTTAATATATATATCTTTCAAAAAAAATCTTGATAATAAATAAAGGACAAAATAGTATATCCATACTAAAAATTTAATAAAGTGATTTATAAATAGGATAAAAATAATATTTTCTCTTTTATCAACAGCACCAGACGAGTGTAAAATTAATTTCTTTAATTTATTGGGGTTATATGAAGAAAATATTATTTAAACGGTGTCATCTCAAAATTGGATACATCGCCTCTAAGGTTGCTTTTTTGGCAACTGTGAATTTTATTTTTGATCAATTTTTCAGGTATATTTAGCATTTAGTCATTTTAGTAGTGTAATTTTACCACTAAAAAAATCAAGATGCTATGTGTATTGGAAAAATAAGATCACGAGTAAAGATTTTACTTGTTTTTTAAAAATAAATGTTCGACCCTTGTTTAATTAATTGTCATTATGAATATACGAATAACTCATATATAGTAGAGTAAATTATGTACACATTTCTTAACAGGGGTGATCATGAGGTTCTGTCCAGGAAAAAAAAATCCCGGTCGAGTCTGAAAGAAAAAGAAGAAACCCAAATGGGCAGGATCGAGTGTTGAATAAAGCATGTTGCTCTGCCCGTTTAACCCTGCTTGAATATATATATATATATATATATATGTAGTATATATAATGTAATATTAATATATGATATTATGATGTTTGGAACTAATGTGAATGTGAAATTTGGAAAGATTAAATGAAACAGAAGGAACGTGAAATTTCATATGTTCCGCAAGTTTGACAATTTTTCTGTGCTAGTATTGATTTTATTGTATCATATTACAAAACAAGTATAAATTATATTTTATCATCATTCACGTAAGTCCTAATTGAAGAACTCACACCCCACCTCTAAAGTTTCAAGCACCATTTGATATATTATATTTATATTTTTCTTTCACATTAGAATACAAATTACGAAATCAATTAAAACAACAAAAGTAATAAAGTTGATTTAAATTGTAGATTTTTTTTACATATAGACAAGGCATCACTATTTAGATAGGGAAGGCCACCCTACATCTAGCTCACTCTTACCCAACTCAAAATAGTTAGGGATTCTACGAGAAAGGTTAGGCAATTGGCTACAAAATGCAGCCTGTTTATTCTTGGCTGGGGCTCTACCCTACCCATGCGCCCCCTATTTCTTATGATCAAATGGAACTTGGACATATTTCTAAATTTCACAAAAATGATAGATTTCACAGCTTTTGTCTATAATTTTCAAAGTTATAAAAACTTATTCCCTGAAACAAACAGTCTCTATAATTATTCGCAAATGTCCTGTTTACCAGAGCAGAAATCGATGAAATCTAAATAGAATTCTACTTGATAATTTTGAAAACAGGGGAAATTAAAATATGCACACAATTTTGATAAAACTCTATATTATAAATTTGTCACTTATTAAATAATTATCTTACCATGTCACGGAAGAAAAAAACTTCCATCATTTAGTTGTGACTTTATTTAAACCATTCCTTCAGTTTCATTTGATGCATTAATACTTTCTTGAGTAATTCTTTTTCTTATAATAGGGATGAAGCAGAGCTCATTCAAAATATTGTGACGGACATAAAAAAAAAACTAAACCGTTGGTCCCCAACAACTGGATCAGAAGAAATTGTTGGAATTGATGAGAATTTGGATCATATTGAGTCATTGCTAGAAGAATCCTCAAGAATTGGGATTTGGGGGATGGGCGGGATAGGCAAAACAACAATGGCTAAGGTTGTATTTGACAAGCTCCGTTCTCGATTTGATAGTTGCTGCTTCTTGAAAAATTTTAGGGAAAAGTATAAAGAGTATGGGTTGGAATATGTACGTGACGAACTTTTTCGAGAACTAGATACATCTCTTGGAAGGCTCACTAGTAGAAAAGTTTTGATTGTACTTGATGATGTTAGCACCACACAGCAGTTAGATAAGTTGAAAAATGAAGTTCCTTGTTTGGGACATGGTAGTAAAGTCATCATAACAAGTAGAGATAAGCATGTGCTTAATGGAAGAGTTGAGAGAATACATGAGGCCAAGGCATTGAGCTACAACAATTCACTAAAGGTTTTCAACCTTAAAGCCTTCCGCAAAGATGGCTATAAAAGTGAATATGAAAAACTAGTTGAAAGAGCTCTTGCTTATGCCCAAGGCGTTCCATTAGCCTTAACCATTTTGGGTTCATTCCTTTATTCCAAAACTGTAAAAGAATGGAAAAGTGCATTGAGGAAATTAGAAAGGACACCCAATCAAGATGTTCAGGCTGTGTTAAAATTGAGCTATGATGGGCTTGATCATGAGGACAAACAGATATTTTTAGACATTGCTTGTTTTTTCAAAGGTGAATTAAGAAGATATGCAGAAGCAATGCTAGAGTACTGTTGTGGCTTTGACCCAAGCATTGGTTTGAGAACCCTTATGGATAAGGCGTTGATAAGTGTCAGTTGTGATGCAATATGGATGCATGATTTAATTCAATCAATGGCTTTTGACATTATTCATCAAGAGTGCATCACAAATCCTGGAGGACGTAGTCGACTATGGAAGCCTGATGAGATCTATGATGTTCTAAAAAATGATCGAGTAAGAAAAATATTTACCTTTCTAATTAGACATTTTGCAATTACTTAAATGAAATTGTTAACATAAAGTAATTTATTTACTTTCTTTTGGATTTTGTGCTGTTCAGGGAACTGATGCAATTCAAGCCATAAGTTTATATTTGCCTCAAATTAAAGATTTGGAATTGAGTGCTGATGTCTTTAGAAAGATGCTTAATTTAAGGTTTCTAAGATTCCATTATTCACATGGGCATGAAGGATCGCGTACTGTAAGTCTTCCTTCAGGGCTTGAGTCGTTGCCCAATTCATTAAGGTATCTTCAATGGGACAATTTTCCTTCCAAGAGTCTACCATTGTCATTTTATGCAGAGAAGCTAGTCGTACTTCGCATGCCAGATAGCCACCTTGAAAAGCCATGGGATGGCATCCAGGTAAACATACAATTAAAAGCTTTAATTTTTTTTTTTGGTTATAATTTAATTGAAATTTGAGACTCGTCCTTCCCGTGTAATATTTTTCTTTTTAATTGTTGCAGAACTTCGTGAATTTAAGGGAGATAGACCTTGCTGGGTCCAAGCAATTGATAGAGTTGCCAGATTTGTCAACAGCCCAAAAACTTGAACGGGTTGATCTGACAGATTGTGAAAGTTTACGGCATCTTCATCCATTAATTTTATCTCTCCCAAGATTGACAGATCTGAAACTTCGTCGCTGCCGAAACCTAAAAAGTTTGAAATGTGAGAGTCAATCAAAATCCCTCTTACACCTGGATGTCTATGGGTGCTCTAGTCTCAAGGAATTTTCATTCTCTTCAGACAAAATGAAGTATTTGAGTTTAGAAGGAACATGTGTCGAGATATTGGACTTTTCAAGTGGGCGTATGGAGAAACTCAAGAGGCTCTGTCTCAACGGCTCAACATTAAAGAATCTTCCGATCAATGACATCTGTTACATGAGATCTCTCGAGGAGCTTCATCTTTATGATTGTGGAGGAACAATTGACAAATCAAAGCTTCATGGCTTATTTGATGCTTTGCTATCTCTACAAACAATTGATTTGAGCGGGACATGCAAATTGACTGAACTTCCAAACAATATCAAGCATCTCTCAAGGCTACAACATCTTAACGTAAGTGGTTGCAAGGACCTTCAATCTTTTCCGGAGCTTCCTCCATCCATTGAAGTATTAGATGCCGGCAAATGCACATCATTGAAGACACTTCGATTCACTTCTCATATTGAATCTTCGTTGTCGATAGATGAAATAACGTCGGGTTCAACATTCTGTTCCTCAGTTAGCTGTCTCAAAAATCTTAGACAGCTTATTCTTAATGATTGTGAACAATTGTATGAAATCCCTGCTGGCATCAAGCATCTTTCAAATCTAGAAGAAATTGAGTTGAGAAATTGTAGAAGACTTCGTTCTCTGCCAGAGCTACCACCGTTCTTTTATAAAATTGATGCCGGAGGTTGCATATCATTGGAAACGCATGTTATGGAAAGTGCTTATTCCTCATTGAGACGACTAGTATGCACACGCAAAGAAGGTCGCATTTGCTACTGTGGAAGAAAAGCCCCAGAGTGGTTTACATTTAATCAGGTAAAACGGGCCTCTAGAGAGATAACTGTTGAGCTTCCTTTCTCCACCAGCGACGTAATTGGCTTCATTTCCTGCGCTGTTCTTTCTGTACACGGTCCCACTGAGTTTTTATGCGACTATGCTAATGGTCTTTGTCGGATCTCAACGCGCTTGGGAAAGATGAAAAATTCAGATTCGCGTCATGTTTTTCTGTGGTGTGACGATTGCTCGTTCGAGGGCTTCAATAACGAGAAGGGCGATCAAAACACCAATTATAGGCCAAAGGCGCCGTTTAAATTCAGTCTTCATGCAGAGAGTGGGGTTGCCGATGGTGTGATTGAAGAATGTGGAGTCTGGCCAATATTTGTCTCGGAATATTCCCACTTCATTCAACAAATGGAATTGCAGTCAAACTTGGATGCCCAAAAAGAGACTCGTCATGGTGCTGATGAGAATTCGTTTCATGGGATCCGAGAATATGCTAGTTTCTCCTTGAATTAAGGAAAATGTGGCAATTTTGAAGGAAGTATTATTCCAGAATGGTTTACTTATAAAGGCTCAACAATATGGTATCAATCTTCAGGAGCGTGGATCCGTGTTCGGTTTGCTCTAGATATTGACAACTTGATGGGTTTCATCTTCTGCTTTGTTATACCCCAGTTCGCCTCCAAAAAAAGGGACGAATTTCACTCATTATGTCTTTTCTATTTAGATGATGTCAGTCCATCGTCGTCAAGGGGTTATAATCTTGATAACTCTTTGACAGGTCCAACAGGATGGCACTATTCAATGGAAAAATTGAATTCAGATAACGTTTTTCGATGGTACGATCCGCACTACAGTGAACTCATACTACAGAAACTCCGAAAAAAGGGGAAAGGTCATGATGAGGAGCTTGAATTTTCATTTCTTTTGGGTGATCGTTATGATTGCAATCTTGAAGAGTGCTGGATCAAAGAATGTGGAGTTCGCCCAATATATGTCTCAGAGTTCTCAGAGTACACAAACTTCCTTCTTCAACCAAAAAAAAATAAAAATGAAAGGGGTATGAAAAGAAAGAGGCCTCAAAATATTGATGATGACCAGTACCAACTCCCTTCAACAAAGAAATTGAAGGAGTCTTCAATCATTCAATCTATTCCCCAGAATCCCGAGTCCAAGACTTCTCATGATGTCGATAAAGTGCTCCTCCTGCTGTCCCAATTGAATTTGGAATCTACAAAGGATCACAATCGCCGTAAGAAATAGATTACCTGGCTATAATCCATTACTTGATCGGTATGTATCTCTCTTTTACATTTCATCTATTAAATCTGACTTTGGTGCTTTTAAATAAAATATGCCGCTCTGTAATATATTTAATTCTATTGATAAGTTTGAATCCAATTATTTCCACTATTAGGATCTCAAATTGGCTTCTTACAATGGGTATATATCTCCAGAGAACTTCACTTATATGTTCCTTGATGCGGAAGTCCGTTACGGCATGACATAATAGGAAACTTGGTATGCATGGCCTAGCTTCATTACACACCATAATAAAAAAAGCATCAGTGAAGTGAAATCATCGACCAAAACTTGAGATGATTTAGATTTAGGATATCTTCTTGTAACTTTGTCCATTTAAAAAGTTGGCTTTCGTAAGTCCGATATATAGTCTGTTGGATTACACTTTGTTTACAATGGAGTTCGACTTCTGCAGTGAAGCTTTTGTCTCCCCTGGATATCATAAGTAAGCTACTGATATATGCACACATAGATATTTATATATCTACATTTAGGTGAGATGGTTATCCCTCTGGAAGAGGATATACGTATGTGTGTTGGATGGTTATTCCCCGTGCTTATACACATAAGAGGTATACTTGATGTACTATAAATTAAGGAGGTCAGTTATTCTCCATACTTTTACACACACACACACACACAAACACACACACAGAGACAAACACAATATGCTGTAATGTAGGTGGAACGCTTATTCACTGGTAAAGATTGTAATGTGAGGTGTATAAGTGAAAAGATAGTTGTAGTTGAATGCCTTGTGATTATTGGCTAATGTTACAGCTTGGATTTGATCATATTTGTTTAACTTCTCTTCTTGAAAATAAGTTTTGGAAAAATTCTTATATGTCATTGCTTGACTTCCTCACGCTTCGTTATTTGTGATTCATTGAATCAATAATAGACTCACCCCTTTTTCATTACTTTGCAGATCGGCATGCAATTGAATAGAGAGCTCTGTTGTTGCACTTTGTGGACACAGGTTAAGTAGGACAAGCTAGAATAATGACGACGTAGTATCCCATGGTGTCATGGCCACTATGGAGGGGTTAGTGTTATTGTGTCGTGTCAGCTTCAAATTTATGTTGAACGTTTGTATAAATAATGCTTGACTAATGTTGGCTAATTTGTTTTAAAATTGGCACCTTGCAGTATGCAAACTGTGATTTGTTTTAATACAAATGAAGGCTAATTTTCTGTAAACTCTTTGAGGTTGTATGGTGTGAATGTGGTCTTAATCCAAGCGAGTTAAACTAAGTGTACTTGTATTGGCTTGGTCAATACGCCGATCACAGCTCAAATTGAGTCATGACAATTTACTGCACTGTTCACACAAAATACAAAATGATTTATAGAAAATATGCAACAAGAAAAAATTCTTTAGTCATACTTTTTTCGGCTCAGGACAGCTCTTACGATCCTGATTTACTAAACTCAAGACAAGATGCAGTTCTTGATATTGGCTACAAAACAGTGTTTTGAGTTGAATGCCTCTTGATAGCTTAAATAGAATAATCATATCTATTTTTTTAAACTAAGAATAATCATATCTAATAATTTTATAAAACTACTAACGAAGATAATAATGGTAAGTACGTGTAACATATACTCCGCCCGTTTCATCAGTTTGAGAGTCCATTAAGTTTACATTTTTGTATTTGGGATGCGTCAGCTAAAATGAATGAATAAGTATTGTCATTTCTGTTCAAGGCAAATCTTTTTTCGTTTATAGGAAAGAAATGAACCTCTATTTGACAAACTTTGCACTCCATGTCTTCACTTTCTCAAAGTGAAAGAAACTAAAAAAGATAAAAAAACAAAAGCAGTTTCTTAAAAAGAAAGAACCTAAAAAAACAAAAATTAAAAGCTGTATTCCTCTATGTCGTGACCATTAATGGAGCAACGTAATATCTCTTTTCCATTAATCCTTCACAAAATCACATTAGGCCACAATAAAGTGTCACAAATTTTATTCTCGTCCAGACAATAACCATGTAAGGTGCATATCTTTTATATATTATTTGGAAGAAATTAAGCTTTTAGTCTTTCAACTTTTAACTCTCTTATAACATATTTTTTTAACTATGACTTGGTACAATTCAGTTCCTAAATTTTCGACTCGTCTGGGACTCAATCTTTTATGTTTTCATTTTTTCTATTATAATCCTTGTCTTATTTTATGCGGCAGTGACACCCATAAAATTACTTACAACTCAGCTGCACCTAGATTTTTTATTTTTATTTTTTTGTTTTTAAAAAAGAAGCCACACGAGACAGAAGCCATGGTCGCATCCTACTCACCAAAACTTCCACTGCACTTTGAAATCCCATTGCCGACCACGGCTTCCGTCTTGCGTGGCTTCTTTTTTTAAATATATATATATATATATATCTCTCTCTCTCTCTCTCTCGGTGGAGCTGAGCACTTGTAAGTAATTTTATAGGTGTTGCTGTCACATAGGATAAAAATTTTCCTTGAGCTTCTCAAGTACCTTCTGATCACAAATTTCTCTACTTTAGCCAACCAAATTGTATTCCCACGTCTCTATCAATTTCACCATCCTCATGCATAATGGATCTTAGATATTTGAACTTTAACACCTGAGAAATGATTTGATCTTCCATCTTCATCTCCAAGTCATCATTACCTTGCTCCCCCCAAAATTGCAATGCATATATTCTATTTGCTCCTGCTCAATCGAAAACCTTTCAACTCCAAGTTCCTTCTCCATAACTCAAATGTAAAGTTAATCTGTTTTCTTGATTCAGCCATGACGGCTACGTTTTTTGCGCTGTCATTCCTGACTTCTTTCAGATGAACATTGTATGGACCCTGAAATTTCCTTGTGTGTTAAATTGGATGAAATGACTCCCAAAAATGGTTTTCCACTATTAGTAGAGCTCAGTCCTGGAAACGTTCTCCTAGGTTACAATCCAAAACTAGCTGAATTGATATTGGAGAAAATTGAAGGGAATAAAAGAAATCTTGAAGCCACCGCTTATAACCGAAATCTTTTTTTCACATTCGGTTTGGTTAGTCATCCTTATCTCACCAAAGAGTGTGGAGTCTATCCCATATGTGCCTCAGAATATTACAATGTTAATAAGTGAAGCCAGCGGAGTTCAACTTGTATTCCCGAAAAGGCAAGGGCCTTTTGATTTAATAGGGGTGTTATCTACTTAAATTACCAAATTAAGAGCATGTATTCATACTTGACCATGATACTCTCCTAGCTGCATTGACGATGATTACATGCTAACTATTGTCGACTATATGGGTTCCAGAAAATGTTGACTATTCGATGTCCTCTTTTCTGTAATGATTATTGCACTTCTGGTTTAAATTTTGAGTTTTTTTTTTAATCAGTTCAGTAATTCCATTCCAGGGAAATGATAATCTTATAAACAACATATCAGCAAGATTTTTTGCAGGGGAATAAAATGAGTTGGTTCTAACGAATGAGCATGTTTATGTTTGTGGATAAAAATATAAAGAAAAACAGAGCAAGAGCTATCGCTCCTTCAAATTGAGCTTTAGGTAAAGTTGTTGAATATCATTGAACTGATTCTGATTTGCGTATTGATGCTTCTAGATGAGAATAGAGTAGAGACCTGAAAACAGAGTATGAACAAAACGTGCCATGACTTGCACAAGCCAATTTGCCATATTATGGTAATTGTGGTAATTATATTCTTGTAGATGATTAGTTAATGTTGGCGGGGCTATTGCATTATTAATCTGTGTATCGGTTCTCAAACTTTATGCATTTTAGTTTGCTAAAAAAGTTTCTTATATGTTCCGATTTGTTACACTACATGCAGCATCGAAATATATTTTAAGAGAAAAATGGAGTTTGCGGATATGCAATAGCAAGCATTCATGTGAATTAAGAGTTACCTGTTTAAACTCTGTCTTTAGCTTGAATTATCTGTTGTTATCGCTTATTTTTTTCCCATACACTCTCTTTTATTTTTTTCCTTCACTATTTTTCTCTCCAACTTACCCCTTTTATAAGTAAGGACATATCCCATAACGTGGGAAACGCAAGTCAAATGACTAATTGTATCGCATAATATTGTGAATCAGTCAAACCAACAATGGCTGCGTCTGCTTCATTATCATACTCGTCTTCTTCACTTCCATTCTGTTTTGTTTGCAGGGCTTTACATCTTCTACTCTGTTCTTTCACAATCCAAGCTAAAGAAAAGCCTTTCCAGTTGCTCGAATTGCCGAATTTGTTGGGAAGAAGATGATAAACAGGTCCAAATTAAAGCCCGAATTTTGATATGAGCGGAATTGAACTTAGTTCGCATCATGTTTTTCTATGGTGTAGTCCATGCAGATTTATAAAAACATCCAGAAATCATTATAACTCAAAGCTTCCATTCAAATTCTCTGTTTTTACATATGATGAGGATGATAAACTTGAAATATCAAAGCATGACGGCTTGATCGTATCATGTGGGGTCTCACCAATATATGCTTCAGAACGTTAATAAATTCTTCAACAGATGGAGATGGAGTCAGAATACAGGAAGTTACTTCAGAAGAGGGAATTGAAATCAGAGTTGGGTACAAGGAAAAAGAGGCGCAGAAAAATACTGAGGTCGAGCAAGAACAACTCATGGATAAGGATAATCACGTTAAATTAGACATATTCTGAACAAGATATCTATTCTCTTCTTGGGTCAAAAGTTCACACTTTCTGGTATATTTAATTCTATTCGATGAGTTTAAACCCCGTCATTTTAAAAATTAGCCTTTAATTTCTGCTTGGCTTGTTACAATGTAGACATTTCTTGTCGAACAACTTCGTTGGTATTTTTCTTGAAGCAGAAGTCCAGTCATGCAGGCAATTGGATTGAAGCATATGACATATCATGAAATCTGGTATGTGGCCTGATGTCAACATATAATTGGAATTGATGAAATGATTAAACCCATTGAAGTAGTGTTAACTGGA